GCTACTAAACATGTATCAACCAAATCTACCAGTATAATCACATGAATATGTAACATGAAATGAGTGTTGTTAAAAGAAAACCCAAAAATTTAAATATAAGTTATAAAATTTTTGGTTTTCTTTTAGCGACACTCAAATGTGTGAGGGATTGTTTTCTGTTTAACTTTTGATGTTCGTGATATGGTAGATTTGGTTGATACATGTTTAGTAGCATGGGATAAGGATCGGGTTCATATAACTTATGCATTGCATGATCGATTATCATGTAATATAAAATAGAACAGAGAACAAATGATTAGCAGAAGATAGTCTTTAGTAATAAAGAAACATCTAAACTATAAACTGTGTGTTTATATATCACATTGTACGTGGTATTTGTGTGGTAGTATCTGGTACGATACTCCAGTCTTCGCTGTTAAGCAAAGCAAGTCTTTCCAGTAAGATTGAATTGAGGAAACCCCGAAGTCAAGAAATACCTTGATATAAAGGACCTGGGCAAGACAAAGGTTTACTCGCAAAACTTATTGAAGTTCGTCATATTTTGCTAAGTGCAAAAGCCAGAAGGTTGTGCTATCGCAATTAGTGAATTCAAGCCTTGGTGGCAAGCTGAAGTTGAAATTAACAGAATTAGAGTTGAAAATAGAAGATACGAATTACCTGGTGATGTTAGTAAAGAATGTTGTGGAAACAGTAGTACGAGAAGTAATGAAAAGCTTGAAGACTTCTCAAGAGAAACGGAAAAAGTATATGTCGCGTCTATGTTACGTATGTCGATGTAAAGGGCACTTGGCTCATTCGTGTCCATATATGAAAGATCAAGTTCATGAGCGATAGTTGAATAATAAGTTGATAGAAGTATATCGTGTTGATGGTAAAATGAACAAAGTATAAGATGAAGAGAAGAAAATTTAAAGACAATGATGAAATAGTACGAAAAATGGTGAAAATTAATAGAGAATTTGCAGAAGCATCGATTAGAGTTAGTTTGAATGTAAATAAAATAAGCGTGAAGTATGCAAAAAGAATAGGATTTACTTGGAAACATTCAAATAAAAGAAACAATAGTCATATGGACGATGGTTATATTGGATTTATTCATAGCATTGAAGTTGTCATTAATGATGAGAGGTTTGTTCAAAAATTTCATATAATGAAAGTCTTACCCGTTGATGTAGCTCTTGGAATGCCGTGGTTTGCAGCATTTAGGTATAGATGTAAATTGATGAAGAATGGTGACAATAATGTTGATTTTGTGAGAATAGAGAATGGAGACGTTAGCATGATTAGTGAGAAGAACATCTGTAGAAAAGAACCCGAAAAAAAATACATGCCTGATATTCGTATGATGAATAATAAAGACCCAAAAGGCCGAGGTAGTAAGTTCGTTGATGTTGATAAAACTGTTGATATTGATGTGGTAGATGTTAGATGTATGAATTTTGATAAATTGAATCAAGTAAATGAGATGAAAATGGAGCATATACCTGTGGTGTCTAACGATGAGAATAACATAGCTGATCTTGATGAAAACAATGTAGATAAATATGTAATAAATGAATTGAGAGAAGATAAGATGAAGGGTGAAATCGTGAAAAGTAAAAGCGATGAAAATAAGGCATTCAATTGTTATTGTAAATCAGCTAAGATGAATCATGTGGAAGGAACATATAATGCTGATAAAGCGTTTATTGTTGGACATTGCTATGAAATGAATCACGTTGATGAAATGCGTAATCTTGATCGAAATAGAGTTGATGTTGAAAAGAGAACTTGTGATGAAAAGAATGAACATAAGACGTTTGTTAATTATCAAAATTTGGCTGATATGGGTAATGCTGACATTACGAATAATCATGGTAGTTGTTACCAAGATGGAATTGATGTCAAAAAGAATGAACATAAAGCATTTAATTATTATCAAAGATCTGCTAACAAAGATAATGGAGATCCTGATGATAGTAAAATAAATAATGTAGGATATTGTTATCATCATGAAATTGGAATGCGAACATTGAATGGTGTAATGATATTGAACAATCGTAGAAAGGATTTTGTATGGTTGTGCAATACAAACTGCCAATTGATCAAAAGGTATGGTGTTATGACGATTGTAAATCAAAAAATAAATTGGAATCGTATTACATCATGTAACAGTGAAAAGATTGAATTCCTTAAATGATTGTATTTGGATCATATAATCAGATGTGATGAAATGGTGAATGTGGTGTTCGGAAGTCGTCTTGATGTACGAAAACTCAGAAGAATCAACGTATGAATGATGTTGAGTCGAAAATGATTATAACAAGTGATAATTGAGGTCGAAATTATGTGGATATTTAAATATTAGTAAAATAATTAATATATGTCAGAAGTTAGTATCTTAGTATTTTGTATTGGGTAATTTGTTTTACAAGAGTAAGACTTCGGGACGAAGTCCTGGGGGTCTAGCTCATGACATGGTAGATTTGGTTGACACGTGTTTAGTAGCATGAGATCAGGATCAGGTTCGTATAACTTACGTGTTGCATGATCGATTATCATGTAATATAAAATAGAACAGAGAGCAAACGATTAGCAGAAGATAGTCTTTAGTAATAAAAAAACATCTAAACTATAAACTGTGTGTTTACATATCGCATTGTATATGGTATTTGT